TTACTCAGGATCGTTCGTTTATTCATAGACGTTTCAATATCACTCCATATGAAATAATCAATAATTGAAAACGAAATGTTAAAATTTTCCATGTGTTTGGTTGTAGGTGCTTTAACATGAATCTCAAGGATAATCTTTCGAAGTTTCAAGCTAAGGCTGACGAAGGAGTATTTTAGGGATATTTGCACAATTCGGTTGCATATCGAGTGTTAAATAAACACACACGAAAACTTGAAGAAAATTCAATCTTACTTTTGATGACCATTACGTTAAACAAGTTGAAAAAATCTTCGAACAAAAGCCAATTATTAATGAATCAAATGATGAAACTAAAATAATAACTTCGTCTGATTTTGATTATGATATAATTTTTGGTGTTCCTGATAGGGCAATAGATGCTGAGGTTTGTGCGAATAATAATAATCAATCAGACTCTTCGAAGCATATTGAGGGATCGAATCTTACCCAAATTCTTGATGACAATTTTTCAACATCGAATTCTCCAAGAATTGGCGAAACTATGCTAAATAATCCAATGGAGGAGGAGCACTTGGATACGAATACTCAAATTGAGGGGGAGCATTCTTTTGAGGGGGAGAATGAGAGAATAATGAAGATGCTAAGGGGGAGCATCTAGTTGAGGGGGAGCAACATAATCTAAATAACAGTGATACAATAAGTCTTGATCTAAATGATGAATTTCACGAAATTAATGATAATATTTCTGTTGCAGGATTAGAAAATGAAGATTTATACGAAGATGCACATTTGGATTTTGATCCAGCTTATCCACTAGTCGAAAAATGGACAAAAGATCACCCGAAAGAACAAGTACTTGGAAATCCACAAGATGGAGTTTTAATGAGACCTCAACTTCGTGCAAAGAATGAGGTATTAAATACTCATCAAGAATTTTTCATTTTCAATGTTTTCATTTCGAAAATTAAACCAAATACAATTAAGGATGCAATGGAACACTATGATTGGGTTGTTGCAATGCAATATGAATTGGTTGAGTTTGAACGAAATAAGATATGGAGATTAATTCCTAAACCTGATAATTTTTCGATTGTCGGGTTAAGATGGATTTTCAAAAATAAAACCGCCAAAGATGGAAACATTATTCGTATATTTCTAGCTTGTGTAGCTCACAAAGATTTCGATGTTTATCAAATGGATATGAAGTGTGCATTTTTGAATGGAGAGCTCGAAGAAACAGTTTATTTTGAACAACCCCTAGTTTTTGCCAATAAAGATCATCCTGATTATTGTTATATTTTAGATAAGACAGTTTATGGGTTAAGACAAGCACCAAGAGCTTGGTATGCAACTCTTACCTCTTTCTTAAACTAATTGAAATTGAAACAAGGATCACTTGACCCCGCATTATTTCGAAAGAAAGTTAGGAATCATCTTATGCTTGTTCAAATTTATGTCGATGATATAATTTTTGACTCTACTAACCCTGCTTTATCTAAAGAATTTGCAATCAGATGAAAACCAAATTTGTAATGAGCATGATGGGAAAAATTAATAATTTTCTTGGTCTAAATATTCATCAAAACAGAGAAGAAATTTTATCAACCAATAAAAATATATGAAGAATTTGCTTGAAAAGTTTGGATTGACGAATAGCACAAAATTACGAGTACCGATGGCAACTGGAACAAGGCTGACACCTTCGTTAGACAAACCAGCAGTTCACTTAACAATTTATCGAAGCATGATAGGTTCATTACTTTATCTCACTGCAAGTAGACTTGATATCATGTTTTTTGTGTGTAATTGTGCTAGGTACCAGTCAAATCCTCGAGAACCACATCTTACTGAAGTCAAGAATATTTTTCGTTATCTCAAAGGCTCAATTTCGTTAGGATTGTGGTATCCTTCGAAAACTGGTTTCTTTATTCAAGCTTTCTCAGATGCTGACCTAGGAGGTTTCAATATTGATCGCAAAAGCACGAGTGGAGGATGTCAATTACTGGATGTGAATTTGGTGAGTTGGCAATCAAAGAAGAAAACATGTGTATCAATTTCGACTGCTGAAGCTGAATACGTCACTGATGCTGCTTGTACATCACAAATAATTTGGATTCAAAGTCAAGTGCGTGATTATGCAATTAACATGAAAAGAATTCCATTATATTGTGATTCTCAAAGTGCAATTCGTATTTGTCATAATCCAGTGCAGCATTCGAAGACTAAGCATATTGCTCTCCGTTACCATTTCATAAAATATCATGCAGAAGATGGTACTACTGAAGTGCAGTTTGTGAAAACTACTGATCAGTTGGCTGATATTTTCACAAAACCATTAGATGAAAAATCATTTGTAAGAATTTTAGGTGGTCTTGGAATGATCGAAGGGGGTTCAATTTTGAAAGAATAGCGATACCAGGGGACAGCTGTCAAATTCAACGGTTAGTATTCATAGTCAACGCTTCGTTACCCTTCATCTTTGTAAATTAAAAATAGAAAATTTGTGTGTCCAATACATTTAAAATACTTTCGTTAAGTAATTTTTATTTTCAAAAAACTCAAAAACAAAAAAAAAAAAAGATTTTTATTTCGTTTGTTTTGTCATTTCTTTTCGAAAAACACAAAAACAACAAAAAGACTTTTATTTGTTTTTCTTTTATTTTCAAAAAATAAAAAATACAAAAATATTTTGTTTTGTTTTCATGTTTTGGTTCAGGTACCAAAGACGAATCCCAATGGTTAATCCTTGCAGTTCTAGGGTCAGGTAATTCTTTTGAAACTCTTGAACTAGTTAAGTTGTCCCTAGAAGCATGTTACAGCATGTTGACCAAAGCCTCAAATGAATCTATGTGTCTTTAATGAAAGCCTTAATCAAATATTTCATACAAAAATTTCTTCCCAAGACAGGCTTATATTCACATTAGTCAAATGAGTTACCTGACTCTTCTCATATGAGTTAAGAGTTTACTATTGTGTCCATCATAACAAAGGTACACATGAATTCTTAAACCAATATTTTTCATCTAAACATACTTACACGATCACACACAAATACATATGTCCAAGAGGTCTTCGATCAAACCCATCGAGACTTATACATATCAAAATTCTGTGTTAATGATCTGACATCATGAGACCGTGATGAAAGTGAAACCCAATTCTCTAGATTTTAAGGAATTGACTGGGAACTTTGTTCCAATTTTTAACAAAACTCTTGTTTCTGCATCGAGATTTGAAACTCCAAATCATATTCATTTCGTATGGGTGATCTTGATCAAATTATTGAGACCCACCATGTTTGTTACCCACCAGGATCCAACACAATATTTTTCATGAATATGATTTCCGTGTGAGTTTCATTTGATTTCTATGTCATTTTTCAATTTAATTCAAATCATACTTGTCACTGACTACACTGGTCAAACAAGTGATTTCTGTTACAATTTCTCACCTTATGTTTTGGATGATATGTAACGAAGTCGTGTATCCACCCATGAAGCCTTGAAAAAGAAGCCCTTCGAAACTTCTCAATAAGTTTTCGATTGTAATTTATGGGAAACCACACAAGCAATTGATTATCTCTCTTAATAATTAACGAAGTAACCTTTGCCCGAGGTTTAACTGCTTTTGTGTCGAAATAACTTTGACATCACAAATCCAAAGTTTTTCTTTATTTGCTTCTTATCTTTCTCTTTGGTACACTGCACCTACGAAATCCTTGAGGTTCTGAGTAGTACCAACTCAGACTAATGATTTCGACAGTCTGGCACATGACTTCACTTTAAATACCAAAAGTAAAAGAGCCTAACCTCCATTTGAAGGTTGCTGATGGTTCATATTACATTGGAGGAAATCAACAGGTTGTGAGAAGTGACGTCTTGTATTCTATCCGGTTTTCAGGGAGAAGTGACAGTTACTTTTTCACGCGTGGCTACTTTAGCGGAATAGTGGTGTGAGTTTCAAGATGCCACGTCGGATTCAATAAATGCACATCCCGCTTCAAATTCAAATCTCAGGTTTACATATAAAAAGGATTTCTAGGGTTTGTTATCAGTTTACGCTTTCAGAAGAAAAATTCCCAAATTCTCTTTGAAAAAATTCAATTGTTCTTCATACGATTTTACAACGCTAGTCATAGCTGATCAAACCAATGTTGATGCAACATCACAAACCACTGATGATGTTACTTCGCAACCGATAATGAAGATTTAGGGGACAAACTATCAAATGGAAGCCGATGAATCTATTCACCTTGAAGGATTAAAGATGTTGGTGGTTGCTTTGAGGAGTTGTGTTCTTTCGACATCTATGCTCAATTCTTTTGCAGTACCTTTGTCCTGGCTTTCACAAGTAGGTCCTACTGCAACTTATTCTAAAGCCCTATATGTCATCACCTTTAACTTCGTGAATGATAAGAAGGTAAGATTAACGATGAAGTTGTTCTATCAAATTTTGGATATTCCGAACTCACAACCGTTTACTACTCTTTCAACTGATCAAGTGAACTATATGTTTAATGAGATGGGTCATCAACCCCCACTCACAAAGATCAGTGATTTCAAAAAAAATGGTTTTCGACGATCTGGAATTTCTTCTTTGGAATTTTTCTTCGGTGCTTAACAGGTCGAAGTGTTGGGCTACATAAAGGAAGAATGGAAGTATACGCAATGGTTGCAGTTATCTATTATGATATCCCCGTGAATTACTCTACACATCTATGGAATGAATTTCAAAAGAGTGTAGAGAATAAAAATGTCGTGCAAGAGATTTCATGTGCACGTTACTGGAGTCTTATTCTCAAATATTTCTATGATAAAGAGGGAATTCTGGTGGATGTTGAGGATGAAACAACAGATTTTTTGAAGTATAATTTTCCAAAGGAAGTATCTGATGATCAAGAAATCTTTTCACATGTTGCAAGAATCCCAGATGCCATGTTAAAGAAAGTTGATCCAACCAATGCTATACTTATTGATTACATGTCAACAATTGATCCCAAAGTTGAAATTGGGGAATTTTTAATGAAAGAAGTAGCAGGTCCTTCGAAGAAGTCTAGGACTTCAAAGAAGACTAAGATCATCATTCCTGAGGCAACTGTTAAAGAAACGAAGACATCAAAGTCTCTAAAGACGAATGCTGATGAGTTAGTTTCAAAATTGGTAATATAATCTGTTGAACCTGTTGTTACAGAACCCACTTCAGTTACCATTCCTTCGAAATCTGGAGTTCTTCACAGATTAAAACTGAAGTATGGTGGTTCTCCTACTTCAAATGTGGTTCGCAAGCCTCATGTTACTCACCAAAGAGTACTTACGCGTGAAGTCCCAGCTCTAGTTTCTCCTCACTGAAAGAAACGAACGGCTGAGGAAATAGCCAAGAAGATTTCAAAGAAGAAGAACAAGACAAAGAAGAGGCAATTAGTAATTCCAACGGAATCATCTGAAGAAGAACAAGTGCCTGAAACACCCGAACCTGAACATATAATACATCCTACTTCTCCTGAGAAGATTGTTGCCATACCACCCGAAGTTTCGTCTACCAAATCATCTCATGAGGAGGTACGAACTTTAAACATCACTTCAAACATATCTGATACAGGTGCAAATGTCATCATGGGTGAAGGAGATTTCACAAAGGAAACTACTCAACCTCCACAAGGTACTCCAATTATTGTTTCTATTGAACCCATTACAAGTACCTGTGTTTCTTTACCTCCATTTATAATCCATACTACTTCAACCACTAATTCATCAACCTTTCAAAACATGATAGACCAACCCTTTACATCCATTTTTTTCCTCTCAATCCACTAATCCACCAAAACCAAATGATGAATCTTAAAATGAAGAAGGAGGCTTTGGTGGTACTTTTGAAGACTTGGTCTTTGATGAAGAAGAGGAGGATTTCCTAATCATACGCTCATGTCTATGAAACAATTCAAAATACTGAATAAAACTCTGAATTCAATTATTCAGTCTCAAGCAGACATGGGGGAGGAAGTTTAGTGTCCAGTTTCGAAATTGATGGACTGCTGAAGGCTTGTGAGGCACGAATGGTGAGCAATATGTCTGGTATGCTTAAAGATTCAGTGTTGAGAATATTGGAGAAGATAGATCATGCTGAACATACAAAAGAGTTGAGGATAAATTCTTTTAATTCCAAATATGTGGGTGTTGTGAAAGAATTAACGAATGTTCAAAATACTTTGTTCGTAATGGATCTGAAGAAGGTGAGAGAAGATATAAATTTGAAGCTTCAGGAGCTTCATGATGACATGGTTCGTGAAGTAACAGTTGTTCAAAATGACTATGCCACTTTGCATAAGAAAGTCGATATAATTTGTGATGCTGTCACGGAGTATTTTACGTTGTATGAAAGCATGAGTCCTCAAATTACTCAACTTTCTACAACTGACAATCAACAATTTGGGGAGGTCATCTCGATGCTTATAGACTTGAAGGAATCGGTGCTAAATCCTGTTACATCTTCAATAATTACTCCTGAGTTTCTTTCCCAAAATTTTACATAGTTCGAAGGTATTCTTCATAAACAAGTAGCTCCATTGTCAACCATGTTCGAACAGGGGTGCAAGGGGGAGAAAGGAGATTTGGAGAAGGATATCATGCGAAGTCTAGAGGTGAAGCTTCGCAGGGAGAAGCTAAGGCTGTGGGTAAAGTTTTTCCTTCGAAAATTCCATCGACTAAACCTACAATTTTGAGTGTTGGACCAGTTACTTCAACTGTTGTAACGTCCATGCGAATCACAAAGCTGATTTCGAAAGGGATTGTTATTGGGTTATCTACTGGTAAAGATGAAGCTTTGAAAACAAAGGATACTACAAGTAAATCAACAGACAAAGGCAAGACAACTGTTGTTGAAAAATATAAAGAAGAGAAGAAAGCAGAAGCCGAAGCAAAGATGGAAAAGCTAAGGATAGTTCAAATCATAAAGAGACAAAGGGCGAGTGATCCTCCAGGTTTGAACAAAGGATATCCTACGAAACTTTATAACTATGAAATGATAGAAGCGAAGGTCGCTTACAACCACATGTATGCATTTGAGAAGAAACCGAAACAGAGTTACATGGTATTGAATGCAGATATGAGCCAGCTAAATTTTCCAATTATTGAGATGATGTTCCTCATGCCTCAATTCAAAGTGTCTGATAAATTCAAGAGCGAAGATGAATATAACTACATGAAGCTTCGTTTTCATGCAGTTCTTATGAAGGCTCTTGAAGAAATCTGGTCACTAAAAAAAATCAAGAAGGTTATAAGCATCAAGGTGGACTTTTCATTTGAAGACATGATGCAGAATGTAAGGTTCATTGTTGCAAGGGCTAATGGTCAGACTTGTGATTTCACATTCGCAGATATTCCTCTAATGAATCTGTATGACCTTATTCAAATGGCTCTTCTCCTAAAAGATAAAAATTCCTCATACCTTTGAGAAACAGAACCTGATGTTTTTTGATTGGGAGTGGCTCACATCAAGATTTTCTTGGAGAATTATTACAAGGGTTTAGCACATATTGATGTGGAGCTAATAACAATGAAAGGACTTGAGGTCAAAGTACCCATGGAGCCATCCAAGTCTCAGCAAGAATTGAAGAAATATGCTGATGGGGAAATATGTTTGAAGCCTTTTGGTTTTGTTTTTGCTGGTAAAGATAAGGCTAGAAAGTCAAAGAGATTTTTGTTCCAAGTCACTGAACTTCAAAGATATACAACGTCTCAATATATGAACTTCATTTTTCGTATGAATAATTGCAAGAAGAACAACGAAGGAGATAGGAAGGAGCTGAAGAAGATTATTTTTTGGTACACGGAAGTTCGAAGGGTGATGATGTATGCCATCCAGATTCTCACAACCTGAGAATTTGACATCATTCCAAAGGGGGAGAATGTTAGGGACGAAGACATTTTGTAATGAGTCAAAGACCATACCCTTCGTGTACTTGTAATGTATTTACTAAGACATTTTCTTGTACGAATCTTAAATGTAATGTCTTAGTATTTTTTATATACTTTCCTGTACCCTTATAAATAGGAATTTTACTTAGATTTAGATAAGAAGTCTTTACAGAAACTTGTCTTTTGTACTCTCTGTAAAACTGTGAAAGTATAATATAGTTGAAATAAGATCATATTTACATCTCGTGTTCTTTCATATTGTTTTCACTCTGATTCGATTTTCATTTAATTGATTAACGATTCTTCATCCTTCAAACTTCCTCTTATCGCCAACTTCAGCTTTCTCCAGACCCTTTGCTTTTATTTGGGTCTCAACATTCCTGGCTGCCATAATGAATATTGTCAAAGTAGTTGCCATTATGACTGCTGGGCCAAAGTCTGTGGGTAGTTCGTTAGCTAACCTATCTATCTTGGAGAGTTCAGTAGGCACTAAGTAGGGAAATAGCTTCATCCTCTCGGTGAATGCATTGACATACTCATCAACACTCATCTTCCCTTTCTTCACATTCTGAAACTCGTTGTTTAGGTCTATTAGATCTATCTCTGAGCAGTACTGCATTTCTAACTGCTATGTGACTGCTTCCCAAGACATTCGTATGGCTTCTCTTCGTGGCATTGTATCTACCAACTACTTCCACCAACTTAACACTCTGGACTTTAGTTGGCTAATTGCAAAGACGGTCTTTTGCTTGTTGCTACAGTCACAGATCTCAAACACCATCTTCGGCGATCTACTCCATAATCTCAACCGGCTTTAGGCTTCCGGAAAGACTTGGTGGCTTGCACCCAAGAAGTTCTTATACATTCGTCCATCCTTGTCATTTCCCCTCTCTGGGCCATTCACCCTTACCCCTTGGGTTCCAGCTGTACACACAGTACAGGAGTGGTTTCCTTCTTCCGATTGCTCGGGGATCAGCTTAGGTTGCTCAATTGGCATGGTAGGTTCGTCCCTATTTTCTTGCAACATTTGTCTCATCTCTTCTTTTTGCTCAGCCATCATCGCCCGTATCATGGCTTGTACTCCAACCATTATGATTGGCTCAGGTGTGGTTACCACAACAGTTATTTGCTCAATCACTGGGGGGCTGTTGATTTCTATTCCCATTCGTGTTCCCGACTCCGCTTCGAGTTCTTTCCATTTCGATCTATATAACAAATTAGACGTTCGGTGTGCAATGAGGAGAATCAAGACAGGAAAGATTTTATTTACGATCGACGTGTAAATCTTCCTATTTCTCCAAAAAGTTATATGTCAGTTCTAATGTTGTAATTAAACATTTATAAATATGAACATATAAAGTTTCCGGATCCGGTCGGCAACATACCATGGATCCAATCATACAATGCATATCATAAATCATTTAGCACTTAAAAGCATGTTAGGCATTTTCCCTAAATTAGCTAGTGCTTGTGTCTATTCAGGTGCATTACCTAAATTTTATTAGACACACTCCTCACAAACATTGTTTAGCATTCTAAGTTTAAGTCTAGAAATAAATCCGTATTCCTAGTTCACTTAAACTAATGCTCTGATACCAACTGTGACATCCTTATTTTCACCGCAAAAAAAAATACCGATTTTGTTTATGCTTTATAAAATCAAAGTACCTCTTTTGATAAAAATGTTGCGGAATTTGTTCTCTGAAAACATGATAAATAGGTTATCAAAGCATTTCCGAAGAAATTTATTTTTATTCATTTTCAAAACATTGGGATGTCATCGTCAATACAGAAACATAAGCATAAACAGAACATACATTTATTTATACTAGTGATCTACATCTCTTTTAAATTGCTCAGTGTAAAGTAGCTTCGTATCGACACCTGTGATACAAATAAGCTTGAGTGGGTTAGGTTGGGAAACCTGGTGAGTACATAGGGGTTTCAACCCACAATAATATAATTATTATGTTTAAACAGCAAATAATCAACCCAATTACCCATCCTCATTATCTTCCTCAATCTTAAGGGTCTACCCTAAGAGTCATTTAT